TGACTCAGGCATGGACAGGCGCTTGGCTGAGGATGCAAGGGGTGCTGGTGCTGACATTTGCTGCTTTGGAGAGGGAGGCCAGGGAGGGCTCTCTGAGGAGGGGACACTGAGGCCAAGATCTGCATGATGAGAAGCCTGGCATCCCGAGGTGTCCCAAGGCCCCAAGAACAGTGAGTTGGTTCTCAGGCCGCCAAGAGGCCGGGGTGTCTTCTAGGAACAGGGAGGAGTCAGTGTCTGAAGTGGGCTGGGGAGGGCATGATGAGGCCCGGGAGGGTGTGTCGGGCCCTCTTGGCTAAGGAAGAATGTGTGTTTCACCCCCAAAGCAGTGGGAGATCACTGCTGGGTTGAAAATAAAGAGATGCCATTGTCCAGTTTGTGCTTTGAAAAGCTCAGGCTGATGCGGAATGGAGAGTGGTCCCGGACGAGTGCCTGAGAGGAACGGAGGGGCAGAGGAAGTGGGGAAACCACTGGGAGGTCACCGCAGTCATCCAGGCCAGGTGCAGTGGGGGCTCGCACAGGGGGCCTGATGCTGGAGGCGATGGGAAGACATGGATGGAGTCGATGTGGATTTTAGGGGCTGTACTGGCAGGACTTGGAGGTGGACTGAGTCAGGGGGACTGAGGGAGAGAAGATTGGATGACTCCCAGCTTTTGAATGACACCCGAATTCTTAGCTTGGGCAACTCAGTGGTGCCATTTGCCGTAACGGGCTGGAGGATGGAATGGGGAATCTGTTTGGACTTGTTCATTTTGACATGACTAGTAGACATCTGAGCAGAGATACACAGTCACAGTCCTTGGATTAAATGACACCACGGAGGTGGAGGCAGCAGCACAGGGCCTGGCCCAGAGTGGGCATTTGTCACTGTGTGTTGACTCCAAATACACATGTATGGGGACAGTGGTCAAGACAGCCCTGGACCTTAGCCTGGTTGCCTCCTTCCTTAGCCTGGAGCCTGGAAAGACCTCTTCGTTCCTTACTGTATTAGTCAGGGATTTCCAGAGAAACAGAACCAATAGGATGTGTATGCCTATCTGTCTGTCTGTCTGTCTATCTATCTATCTATTTAAAGAGATTTATCTTAAGTAACTGGTTCAGTCCAAACCTGCAGGGCAAGTCAGCAAGCTGGAGGCCCAGGAGAGCCAATGTTCCAGTTAGAGTCCTAAGGGCATTTGCTGGAGAATGCTCTCTTGTTGGAGAATTCTCTCTTTTGTTCTGTTCAGACCTTCAACTGATTGGATGAGGCCCACCCACACTACAGAGGGCAATCTGCTTTCCTCCAAGTTCACCTGTTTGAATGTTTATCTCATCCAAAAAGATCCTCATGGAGAAACATCCAGAATAATGTTTGGCCACATATCTGGGTGCCGTGGCCCGGCCAAGTGGACCCATGAAATTAACCATCACACTTACCTTCTACTGTTACCTCCCTTGGAGTCCCCCTCATTTTTCCTCATCTCTCTTTCCAGCCAGTCAGTTCTCTCATCCTGCTTCCCGTGCATTGACTAAATCTTCCCTACACCATCCCCCCCCCACCACTGCTTTCTTCAGATCGTCATCGTCCCTCATCCCTTCCAAGCCTTCCCCAGTATTGGGGCAAAGTTTGGTTTAACCGCCTTCCATCTTTAGGACCAAGTATGCAGTCTGTATCTTGGCATTTCTCAACTAGATTCCTGCCTCCCTCTCTGGACCCATCTCTCAAATCGTGTCACCTTCCTGTGCCAAATGCAGTGATTTCATTTTTCAATCATGCTACCTACTCAGAACGTATATGTCATTCTTTTGCCCGAAATGGCTCCCCTCCTGGCTTTTTGCTGAAAGAACCCATGTTCATTCTTCGTGGTCCAGCTTCGGTCTTAGTCATCTGAGAACCTTCCCTATTTTCTAGGCAGAAGGAAACTCCTCCTCCTCCTCTGTGACCCCACCACACTCTGGGTGCCCCTCAAACGATCCCATAGTGTACTTGGGGTTGCTCCCTCTGACTGTCACCACCACTTCCCCACCCTGTGAAACCCTAAAAGGCAGGGGCTGCATCCTGTCTCCCCCTCCCCACTCTCCAGGCTCCTAACAGATCCTCCAGTGAGGGTTAGATGAGGTGGGGGAGGAAGGAAAGGACAAATTCTGCTTCTACCCCAGGAGCACGCAGAATTCAGCTCATTTTATAAATAACTTCGGGTGATTTGTGGAGTGACAGTGACAAGTCTGCTAGGGGACTGTTACGGAGAAGGGGTAATAAAATCTATAAATAAAGCTGCACGGCCGACATTGTCTTCCTTGGACTCCTCACTGCCCAGGAACCGGGCAGGGGTGTCAGAGAGGCTTCTCAGCGCACAGGGAAGCCCGTCTGCGGCGTCCGCTCACTCTTACCCTCGGACTTTATCCTGACTCGCTTTCAGGTTTTCCCACGTTTTCATCGCTTGGCTTTTTCTCCTTGCTTATCTTAGACTTAACTCTGGCCAGGACCTGGCTCTGCCGAGTTCTGAGTTGGCCCCAGGGGCCGATGACTGGATGATTGAAGGCATTTGCGTTCAGTTTGGTGCTGGCCCGGGTCCCTTCCCTGTGAATCAGATCCGGTCCTACCAGCTGGCTTTGGGGTCCTTGCCACTCTGTGTCGGAAATATATTCCCTCCAGGGAAACGGTTCAGAAATCTGCTTCCTGAAAAGCCTCCTTGACCCTTTGCAGCCAACATTTCCTGTATTTTCTGTTCTAATCCTCAGATTGCTTAAATCCAGCAGGGTTTGGGAGCTGTGCAGACCCGGGCTCTCCCAGCCCCCTCCCTAGGTTGGAAGGCCTGGCCTCTGAACACACGCGGATCTCCCTGCCTGTCTTCTCTGTCCTCTGGCTGCTGAGCCGCTCCCCTGTCCCTCCTGTGGCCTCACCTGGCTCGGCCCACCCCGTGTCCACCCGCGCAGCCTTGCAGGGATGGTGGAGGTTGAACCTGGCACCGAGCGACCTCCGCTGCCTCCAGCCTCATGGGGCAGATAGAAGTGGGGGGGCATGGGCAAGAGAGAGCTGCCCTTGCTAAACTGTACAAATACGACTGGTTGTGGTCAAAACACACGGAAATGTCCCCTCCTTTCCTTCATCTCTTAGTGTGGCTCGCTCTGTCCCACTCTGCCGCGTGCACCCTCAGGTCTCTCCCTCCAGCAGCCTGGGAGCAGCCCCTGGACCCACCCGTCGGGGAGGCAGCTAGGAAGACATATAACCGGCCTCGCAGAGTCTTGTTCTGGGGAGCAGAGAGGAGGGAGGGAGGCTCAATGGACGGTGAATGAGGTAGCGTTCTTTGATCCCTTGCAACAGCAATCAACTAGGGCAGATTCGGACCAAGAGGGAAAGTGTTGGGGGAAATGCAGGAGCTCACAGAAGCGAAGTGCCCGCTGAGGAAGGAGGCTGGGCAGGGACAGGGTGCAGGGCAGCCCCCTGGGGAACGAGAGGTCCCCTGGGTGTGTCTGCACCAGCTGTTTGTTCTGTGTGTCACTCTGCCTGAGGTTCAGGGTCTCAGGAGACAGAGCCCCAATGGGCAGTCCTGGCTGCTGTGCCCATCCCTCTGCCAGGGTCTTTGAGAGGCAGGGAGGGCACCTCCCCAACGGGTGCCAGGAGGCCACACGGTGTCGGGGAGGGGGGTCTGGGTTTGATACAGGTGGACTCTGCCCCCAGCTCTGTGAGCTGGGCCAGCGATCTGATGCTTTAAACCCCACCTCTCCTTCTGCGTAACATGGAAAAGCTTTATGTGTCTCACGGGCCTGTTCTGAGGCTACGCTGAGATGAGTGTATGTGGGGGTGCTAGGTGCTCCCAGGCATCTCCAATATCTGTTCATTTATCCCTCAGGAAAGTGGCCTACGGTCCCCAAAAGCTGGGAGACAGCTGGACACAGATCATTATTACAGTGCGAGGGGGACTTAGCCAGGCCAGCGTGGCGGGGGGGAGCTTTCCTTCTGTGGCCTCCTTCGCAGAAAAGGACGTCATTTCTGCTTAGACTCTTGGTTCACTGAGTGCCAGAATCCCCCCCGCCCTCTGCCCCGACAACCTTCTGCTCAAAGATGGAGAAAGAGCAACTCCTGGCTCCTCCTCCGGGAGCCCTTGAACTTGGGGTTCTCTCTGCTTTCCTGCAGACTGTCAGCAGGCAGTGTGGTCAAGCCCTTTGCTCTCGACTGGCCCTCCTGATCCACCAAAGGTTCCATTTTTGTTTAGTCCTGACTTTGGAAGTAGGATGAATCTATCCAAGCTTCCTTTCCCACGAGGTCATGATTTTCATGACACAAGTAGGCCTGAAGCGGCCTGCTGTCTGGTCGTTTCTTTAGAAGCAGCCGTGTGCGGCCCACTCACAGGCTAGCACAGAAAGAAGTTCAAAGCCCTGAGGCCGAGGCTCTGAAGGGAATGGGGCCCTAAGGAAAAAATCCAGCAGACAAAGGATGGTGTGGAGGAGGCGCCGGCTCCCCGCTTACAAGTGCACGCACCTCCTGACGTGGTGCTTTGTGAAGAATGTCCTTAGGTGAGACGCTGTGTGTCCCCAGGGGAGTGGGGGCAGTGGGTGACTGGGGGCAGAGCAGAGTGGCTGTGCCACCGACAGAAGGACTGGACGGTGACTTCACTCCTGGGTGTCAGTACCGTCCTTGGCGTGCCCGTCACACAGGCGGGGTAGAAGCAGCCCCTGATGGCCCGAGTGCCTGCCGGAGGGTCAGCTGTATGTTAATAGCTGTGACCCTGGGCCCCACTGTGCCCTGCGGGCGGGGGGGCATGGTCTGGCATTTACTGTGTTTGTGTAAGGGGTGGGGGCCTCGGAGAGGACGGGGTGCCTCCCAGGAAGACCAGGAGCAGCCGCTCAAGAGTGACCCCCCCGCCCCCCGCAGCTCCCCCAGGGCAGCACTTGGGCGTAATTTCCAGGGGGACAAGGTAGCGCCTCAGGCCCCAACCCCCAAGCTGGTCTGCTCCCTGAAAGTGTCCATCCTCTCCTCTTGCCCCCTCCCCCTTGGGATCCAGGAGCAACACCAGGGGCTGAGGGGGGAGGGTCTGTGAGGATCAAGTTCTTTTACCCCAGGCCTGCTGGCGGGTATAGAAGACGCGCCAGGCGCACATGTGGGGTGAGGGTGCGTGGCGGGGAGCGGCAGGGCGCTAAACTCAGGCGGGAGAGGGCAGGGAACGCAGGGCGGATATGGTGGCCCAAGAAGGCGGGGTTGAGGGAGGGGCGAGGGAAGGGTGGAGAAGTGGGGGGACGATGCGTGCACCCAGGTGTGCGGGGGGCAGGGACTCTGAGCCCCTAGGTCTGGCTGTGGGGAGGTTCCAGGTCCTCCAGCCAGAATCCCCCAAGGGCTGACTCAGCGGGTCCTCAGGGCCTCCCTTAGGACTGTCGAGAAAGGCTCGTTTCCTGCCTAGAACGCACCCTTTTCTTCTTTCTGCGGGCCCCCACCTCCCCACAGGGCCCCCTTCCAGTCTTCTTAGCAGGCTGTCCTCCTTTGACTTAAAAAGACTATTATTATAAAAGAAAACTATGCTTCTTAAAATAATCGTACTGTCCCCATCAAAAGTGTTCCCCTTGTACCCCACTCCACTGCCCTGTCCGTCCCCGAGCCCTAGGTGTAAATATTTGGTCCTTTCAGCTTGCTATCTATGGGCCTATTTTGTACTTCCACAAATACATTTAAATTCTTACAGAAATAAAATAATGCGTGGTATTCTGCATTTTTTTAACTTCACAATATGAGGGTCAGTTCAATCTGAATGGGCTCCCGGGGCCCACGGACCACCCTTACGTGGAGACCTGCTGAATTAAACACCAGGACGTGACTCAGGGTGGCTGGCTGGGGGGTCTTTGCGGCTCCCAGCCCTCCCAGTCCCTCCCACTCTGCCCCTACCACCCCTACCCTCACCCTGCCCCGAGCTCTGGGCCTGCCTTCCTGGACTTTTTTTTTCACATTTTCCTCCACACCAGCCGTTTTCACTCTTTGCAACGTAAGTCTCCTGGTTTGTTTGCTGCCCCTTCTGATCCTGGCCTTTCTGTTCTTTCTCTGCGTCAGTCCATCTGAAGCCCCAGTGACAAGCGGACACGCGGCGGGGCTTCTGCGGGAGGTGCTAGAAAGGCAGTGGACACGCTCACACTTCGTATTCTGTGTCTCTGCGACCGTTCACAGCTTCTGTCACATTAATATCAACATAGCTGCACCTCGGATTTGTTTTAGCTTTTTGGCAGAATAAGACTTAGCACAGGCACCAGCGCAGAGCCTGAGTGCGCAGCCTGGTGACTTTCCAGACAGAACACACCTGTGTCCCGGTCAGGACGCAGCACGTGACCTGCCTCCGGAGACACCCCCCGCCCCTGCCCCCGCCCCGCTGCCCAAGGTAACCACTCTCCCCGTGCCCCATGATAGACTAGCTTTGCCTGTTCTTGAACTTTCTACGAATGGAATCACACACTATAGTTTCTTTTCTTCAGCTGAGCGTTTGGGGATTTACCCGTGTGGCCACACTCAGTGGTGGATGGTTCGTTTATTTATTCATCGTATGGTTGTTGGGCGTTCGGATTGTTTCCAGTTTGGGGCTGTTATAAGCAATCTT